TCTCTCTCTCTCTCTCTCTCCCTCTCCACTTAGTCACCACACCTGGTTTCTATAGCAACCAATCCACCAGACCTAACACATTAGGGCCTCAAGTCCCAGGGGAGAGTATCTCTGATATAAAAGGGTCTCAGCTAGCTCTCATACCTTAAAGCTCCCTCATCCTTGACAAGGCCACCGGCTCCCTGGCCCCAGTGACCTTCCACCCCTGCCTCCCCCATCCCCACCACAGCCTGACTTCACATCCAACCCTGCTCTCCTCAGAGGAACCCACAAACCATCCCTGACAAGTCTTTCCATGTCGACTCCAGCAATCAACTCAGAAGGGGGCTCAGGAGCCTGGCCCCCGGCTGGCCCAGCCGGGCCCTCCAAACCCTCTGCACCAGACACGCCACGATCTGACATCACAAGACCACCCAGCAGCACATGCCCACAGACCACAGGGTGAGCTTTTCCATCCACAGCCCCAGCCTTGCCCTCTGCCACCTCCCAGGATGGCATCACCCCGTGTGCCAGCTGTCTCGTGCATGCTTGGTCCCCATAACCCTGAAGCCACTCGGCATCACATTCCTTTGGGGTACCATTTATCCCAGGGCAGATCCCTAGAAAATAACCATGGGCCAATCACTCAAGCCAGTTTTTTGTTTGCACCAGACCACCTGCACTGGGCCCAGCTCACCCACTGTGGCGGTGCGAAGGGTGAGCTGGAATCCAGCTTGTATGATTGTTTGAGCGCCTGTGGACAGGCCCGGTCTTTCTGTTCCTGCGCCCACAGTGATGGAAGAAATTGTGTGTGGCTGGAGATGTTCCATTGAGGAGCGCCTACTGTGCCCCTCAATTGCTTTCAAAGACCCACTACCTAGTACAGTGTCTAGCATATAGCAGGTGTCCAATAAATGCTTTCTGAACGCTTAACAGCAGTTCTACGTGCCAGTGCCAATGAGCCTGTAAAGGGCTGAGGGAAGTCCCTGCATCTTGGCTCCTGGAGGGGCCCCCAGAAGCTCCAACCAGGCAGGGATCTCCTGCTAAGCAGGGCATCCTCCTGAACCACCTGCTCCCCAACAGGACTGCAGCCCCAACTCTCCTACCTCTTTAACGGATACTACCAGACACCTCTCCTCAAGGGTGACATCAGCACCTAGTGACACCTTGTCCTGAAGCCCTCTTCCCTTCCCAAGAAAACCATGCAACACCGCATTTCAAAGTCCTCCAACCCAACCAGGCTTCTCTCCTCCGAATGACTATCAAACCGGCTGGATCTGCATCCAACATCCCTACTGCGGCTCCCCACTCCCACCCTTCCTGGCCAGGAATCTTGGCCACAGTGCCATTCCCCCTTTTTCTTGTTGCACCCTCCCCCACTCCCACCAGGCCTCGGGAGGGAGGGCCGCTCCTTCCACCCCATGGCTCAGGCACTGCGGAGATGGGGCATTTCCAGCAGTCCAGGAATGGAGACCCGGCTACAGTAAACAGGGGGTGTTAGGAGAAACGCAGGAAGGATTAAGACCAGGAAGCCTGGAACCCTGGGAGGCGCTTCTCTCTGGCTCTCCTGGAGAAGAAATGGGGGCAGTCTCCCCGATTCCCATCAGGAGACTCGCCGATTCAGCCCCCCTTCCCCGAAGCCGATGGAGCTGTAGGCAAAACTCCACGCCCTCCCCACACATCGGGCATCGCCCCCCGTTCTCACATCCAAGGGCACGGGGCCCTGCGGTTATCAAGGCGACCAAGGCGGCGTCTGGGAGTAAGAGGAAGCTGCTTCGCAGGGCGCTGTAGACAGAGACCCCTCCCCAAACTGTGTGTGTGTCGCGGGGAGGCGGGGGAGGATTCTAGAGGTGGGAAAGAGAGGCACCCTTTCCTTAGACCCAGGCTCAGGGCGCTCACCTGCCCGTGATCACCGAAGGTCGGCCGCGCGGCTCGGAGGCAGAGGGAGCCGCCCCCGGTGGGGAAGCTGGACACGTCCTAGGGAGCTGCGGGCGAGCGCCCAGCCTTCTGCAGCCTCCGCCGCCGAGCGGCCCCGCCCCAAGACCCCGCCCCCTCCCTCCGCGGCCGGCCACGGCCCCGCCCCCGAGGCCCCGCCTCCTCCCCGGTCCAGGCACGTGACGAGACCGCTACTTTCATGATGCGCACCTTGTTGGAGAAGCTTTGAGCGAGGCCTTGGGCGTCCCGGAGAGTTCAGGGGACGAGTGAGCTGCTTGACCTGCAGGAATATCACCCAGGGCCCAATGAAGCGGTGGCCTGGACAGGCACCCACCCACCCACTCCCTCCTTTAGAAGTCACCACAGTTCCCAACAACTGGCTTTCACTCTGGCAATTAATTGCCGCCGAAGGTTTGTCACGGTTCACAGCTGCTCTGGTCCACGTTCGACTTCCCCTTCGGTGGTGCCCGTTTTTGAAGTAGAGACATTGAATCCGGATAGATGGATTTCTTAGGATGCTTCACAGTGGATGTGAACTTGCCTCCAGGCACCTGGATGTTCCAACACTGTTTTACTATAAAAATGAAGTGTTTGTCTAGCATACATGCATAGTATGAAGACAGCCAAAATTCCTGGCTGACATATTTTAACGAAACCTATTTTCCAGAATTATTCTTTATCCTGTCCCCCGGAGCTATTAATGCCTCATTCGCATCTGGTTTGTGAAAACTCATTACAAGTGCCTACTCAAATCCTGTAATATCCAGTAAGCACTGCTCGAAGTGTGAAGGATCTTTATATGCATGCAATGTGTACATGTATATGTATTTACATACACACTTTAGATCATCAGCAAATGCTACAATTGAGATCAGTGACACATAGTTATCTTGTTGTTTTCCCTTTTCCCTGAAATTAATTTCCTTGCCATCTTTGGGAGGTGGCAGGGAAGGACGGGTACTACTGATTTATTGGAGGGGTAAGAACTAAGGCTAAATTTAAGCTATTTTAAACATGTCTACCTCTCAGGGCAAAATCACAATATGTAATTAAGGAAGCACAAATTACAATGCACTGTTTAACCTGTAGGCCAGCTCTTCTCCAGGTAGTCTGTAGTTGGCACCAGAAGAAAATTCCTGAGACACTCCACATCCCTTATACGAATCAGTGTGATGCATCCTGGAACAAGGGGCTCAGCCAATGCTGAAGGCAACCTGTCGCCAAGTTAACGATCATTGGTAAGACACTTCTCCAAGTGTTTTCAAAATTGTGTTCACAGAGCAGCTGGGACAGTATCTCATATTTTGTGTATCGTCTTATCATCGTTTGACACAAAAAACTAGAATTTGAGTCAGAACACAATTACTGAGTCAAATTTATTTCACACCCTCTTGAAGGTAACTCTTCAATGCAGCAGGGGGTTGGGAGGTACAACCCACAGGGCATCACCCTCCAGTTTCATGGCATGTTCAGTTTAGGGAACGTGGGCCTCTGTGTGCCTCCCTCCTGCCTCAAAGGGGCAACTTATGGTCAATGAAGCTTGTAAGCTGCTTACTGTCCTTGAAATTTGGTTTGTTATTACCATTTAAATGCCCAAATGCTGTTTTTCACTCTCCCAGACTCATTTGCTGTGTGAACAGCTTTAGTCCTACCCTCGGTGTGGGGTAAGGTAAGCCGTAGCTGGTGACTAGCAGCAGAATTAAGCAGATGCTTCCTAAGAATATTCCTTAAATAGCTGGGGGGTGGAGAGAGTGGTAAGGAAAAAACACCCTCCTAATTTGGCAGTCTGGCTCATGCTAACAACTGCCCCCACAAGAACACCACTGTAATGCCCAGCTCACTGGCTAATTAGGGGGGAGGGTGGGAGAGAGGCAGGCAAGAAACAAGGTTATCTTTTTAACACAAAATAAATGAAAACCAACCTGAGCAGCTTCTCAGAATACACCACCTAAAACAAGTCCTTTGACCATCAGGAGGACAGTAACATTTCTGCAGGGACACGATGCCAGGCCCCTGTGGGCATATGGGTGGCAGCAGAGGCAGCACCAAGGATAGGCACCAACTGCTTATGGTTCAGGAGGCTGCTGCCCACATGAGCTGCATCTTTTAAAATGACCTCCAGCTTAATAAGTATCTTTCTAGCAACCCAATGAAGAGACTACTCTCCTCCCCACAGTAACTTACTTGTTTGTTCCAGTTTACTGAAAAGAAACACTTAGTTCAGAGTCTTCCATCAATATTATAGATACCTCATAGGCTGATTCGGGATAAGGCAATCACATTCTTACTCTTTAACTTTATAAAAACCCTGTGTGCACTCCGCCCCCTACGACAAGGGCCATTTTCATGGTGGGGTGGCAAAACCAGTTATCGCAGGCCTGGGTCTGAGTCCCGGCTCTGCCATCGACTGGCTGCATGGCCCTGGACAAGTCACAGATTCCGTTTCCTCACCCACAAACTAGGCGCAGGAGCATCTCCCTTGCAGGGTTCTAAGAATTCGAGATATTACATGAAGTTCCCAGCACAGAAACCGGGCAAAAAGTCACTATATCACCAAGATCAACCTCATGCAAAAGATAAATATGTTTATATACTAAAATAGACAAAAGAATATGTACACATATTCAAAAATTATTTCTTAAAAAAAAAAGACACAGAAGTCAATTTTCTTAAGATTCTGAAAACCCTATATCAACTTTATTTCTGAAGAAGGGTATGGGAGAATCACTCAGATTTGAAGGCAGCTAACTGAGAAGCGACAGTAGCGACAATTTCAGGGCTCTAGGGCCTTCCGACCTGTCAGGGGATGGGTGCTGAGGCAGCCTTTTTTGGAGAGTCGGAAGCTTCATTTTCCCCTAGAGCAAGACCATCCATTTTTACGGGGATCAAAGAACAAACAACAAACTCAATAGCACCAAATGGGATTTTAAAGCAGAAAATAGGATCAGGTTTCTCCTTTCAAATGCAAATTTCACAGGAAAATAGGTTTACGAATCAGAATCATAGGTGGTTTTCCTCTTGAGTTAGCCCCTCTTCCCTCCCCACCCAGAAGGCCCTGGAGCCCGAAGAGCGAGTGCATTACTAACCAGATTCACAATCAGCTGCCAAACTGGGGTCTGGTTACTAATGGACTGCCGAACCCAGGGCAGCCCCCAGGGAAGGGAGGCAGGAACTACGCTCTCAGGGAGAACGGATACTGAGGGTGCCACCAGTCGAAGAGGCGGACGCTGTGCACTGGGTCAAGGATGACTTGCACGCCCTGTTCACTTCGCAGCTTCCGGCCGCTGTAGATAGGAGAATCCTGGAACACCAGCCTCACTCGATGGTGTCGCATGTCTGTGCTCACATTGATCGTAAACTGAGAGGAAAAAGCAAATTAAACCACCTTGGTTCCCCATGGCTCACTCTGGACATCACAGACAGTCCCTAGCCAAACAAAAAGATTAACCTCTATATTGTAAGCCCAACACCATCTTTGAGAACACACAAAATTAGAAGGGTGATTGTTTTCATTTATGAGCTCTTCTCTGTTTCATATATTTAAACCAAAGAAAGCCTTACAGAAGGCTGAATATATGGGGGCATGTCCACAAATACTACTATTAACGGCAACTTTTAAAGCAGGGTGAGGGCTGCAAAGAGATGACTTCGACATTATTGAACAGGTGAACAAGATGCATGTAGGTACAATGTAACCCCATTATAATAAATAAACCACAGAAGCCCAACTACACATGTGAATAGAGAAGTCTGTATAGGGCTATGAGTATCGAGTGCATAGACAGAAGAGGAATTTAAAGTCTGTGGCGAAACAAATTAAAAGATAATAGAATTTTCCCATGAACTTTATAAAACCCTCTCGTCCGTGGATATAACTAGGCTTCATCTGGGAGGAGGGTAGAGGTGTCTACAGTAAAGACAGCATGCATGGCCTCACTCCAATTAGGAAAAAAAGAAAAGTTTAAGACTATATACTTCTACATAGTAGCACACACACTACAGAATACTTCCCCCAAAGTGAAAGGTTGACTACAAGTTACGGGGCAGTGGACGTCTAAGTCGCCTTTACTTTGTTAATACTTTTTCCCCCATATGTTTAAAATGAGCTGGTGACTAAAGACTCCAAGTATGGACTTCAGTTTACTTTTCCTCTTTTTTTTTTTAACCACTCAGACCACTATTTAGGTCTGAGGGATAAGCATCAGTAGGGATTGTTTCTTCTCCTGGTTTTAAAGCAGCATACTGTATACAGGTACACAGCCCATCTCTTGTCAACCCTCCATTAACACGGTTCTTTCTCTCCTCCCACCCCCCCAGCCGCCCTCCTCAAAGCCCTCCCTCCCCCTGGTTCCTCCTCGTAGTCATCAAAACCTTGTCTTTGGGTGTATAAACCACATTTTGATTTTCTTTACAATAGTGGGGTTAGTAAGTATTTGTCTGTGTAAGACTGACTAAGTTTGCTCTGCATAGCATTCTCTAGTGCTGTCCATGTCTTGCAGTGTGAGTGAGATGAGAGTTGTCATTGTTAATTACTGATGCATAATATGCTAATAAAAGCTGAATGCTCGGGAAAGCCGTGAATAGTTAGAACAGCACACCAAGGACAAAGGGGCCACCTTCATCTTCATATTCCACTGATGACCCCTGTGCAGGCCCAGGCCCTGGCATACAATGCGCACGGAGAAGCCCTGTCACTGCCGTGTTTCCCATTCACTGATGGGAACTCAGCTAGAGACAGACAGGCCCATTCTCCTTAGAAAAACACATTCCAGGAGAAGGAAATGGGGGAAGACATTCTCAGGGACAAGTACCTTCTACACAGAGCTACACAAGACTGTTTGTTGTGAACAAGCAGTTGTTCACAATACACAAATCTGTATCCACTATGTTAGCATTAGTCTCCAAAGATTTCTTCCTGGGTTGTTAAACATACAAATCTCTTTCAAACCCTACATAAAATGAGTCTGCACTAGAACTAGGCGCCCTGGTGGCACAGTGGTTTAGCACTCAGCTGCAAATTTAGGAGGCGGCAGTCACGTTGCAGGAGAAAGATGGAACCCTTGACTTCCATAGAGACTTGTGGTCTTGGAAACTAAGGGACATTCCCACTGTATCCTATAGGATGACTGTGAGCTGGAATCAACTCAGTGGCTATGGTTTTTGTTGTTTTTAAATGGGGTACAAGAGCTGAGGCTGAAACTGAGTCACCACTTACCAGGGTAAATATCATTCCCATGACAATCGGAATAAAGATGAAATTGAGGGTGGTGACCTGCAGGAGGCAGCAGTCCTGGTCTGGGTTGGTATGAACATCTTCGTATTGAACAGGTGGCTGCAACCCTCCCATACACTTGCTCTTTAACCTAGGGGGCTGAAGAGAGCTGAGAATTAATCCAATGAATTACGTAAAGGAAATGTTTGTGACACTAAAACCCCACCAATGAAAATCCTACGGCTCAACTAAAGATAGTGAGATTCTCTGGTTATCTCTTGTCACTTTACATACATGCTATTGGCTGCGATAGCGAGAGAAAAGAAAACCCGCCTTTCCAATGAAGGGGAACCCATTTGGAATAGCAGCTGTTGCAAGATTCACCAAGAGGGTGTGTGCATTTCTTAACGGCAGTGGTGGCCCACTTCCCATTACTGTGGCGTCCTCACAAGCGACGGGGATGCCATCCTTGATTGGACACCAGGGATTTGAATTCCAAGCTGCACTCTTTCCTCCGACGAGAACTAAGTGCAAGTAAAATGTCATTTTAATAAATACTACTGTAATGCAGTCGGAAGAATCACTGCAGAGCTATTTCCACATCCTGGCTCGTAGCCATTTTTTTTTAAACTTCGATGATTAAATAGGCTAAACTTAAAATAGCTTCCATTATACTAAGATTAGACCTTATAACTCTATAGCAGTGGACTTAGGCTCCAATGAGATGGCATTCCCTGGCATCTGACAGGAAATGGAAACTTAGCGTCTCCAGCAGAGCCTCCAGAGAACTCCAAGTGCACTGATGGGCTGCAAGTGACCGCCAGGAGACACAGGCGCCACGAGACACAGGCGCCACCAAGCCCAGCTCAGCACTCGCCTCCTCACAGCCACATGGCTTCTCCTCGGTCACACGCCCCACGTACAGCGGATCCTCCGTTCCTTCCCAGAAAGGACCTACCATGAATTTTCCACCAGTGTCTAGTGGGCACCACAGACTGCAGGGATCTTAGGAAAAGCCAATTCCCAGACACAAAATTCTTCCCTAGGACCCTTGCTGTCATTGTTTTAAAAAATTTTTTAATCAATAGATAAATAAGACAGACTTTCAACAACAAAAAAAGACATACTTTCATCACAAATTTTTTTGCAACTCACCCTCCATCAAGTGGGGGATAACTGACTGTACTTGTAATATGTGTCGTCAATGGAATAATAGGGACTAGAGATGACGGGGAAACGAGGCTGTGTAGGACGGTTTCTCACCCCGGCCCAGACCGCAGGCCCAGCCACAGGCAGAGGCAGAGAAATTGAACAGTCTCCCATCTCATGAGAAGACTTTGGGCGGTACTTCTCCTCCTGGCTTCTTCTACTCTATACCTCTACTGTAAAGCCCTGTAAATGACTGTTGCTCACAAATACATTTACTCTAAACAACCACCATACCAAAAATTACCAGGCAACTAACCTGAGTGCATTGTTATACTATCTTTTCTCCCTTTCCTAACCTTTATGCACACTTGGAGGAGCCACTAAGGCATCTCAAAATGACACTGACATTCCACCCTTGTTTAATTCAACATGAACTAAGACACCTCAGTATAAGCATATCATTAGCACAGTGAAGAAAAGGAACAGTAATTCCATGACATCTAATACCCTAGCACATTCATATCTCCTTAATTGTCTCAGAAAGGTTCTTTTCCAGCTTTGTCCCCTGGTTCAGGACCCAGCCCAGGTTTGCATGGCATTAGGCCGGTGTGTCTCTGCCATCTCTCTCTCGCTCTCTCTATTAAAACAGCTCCTCCCTCCTTTTCTTTTCATGCATTTATGTGAGTTTTGATGTGCATTATTAGGTTCTAATAGGGCAACTTTGATCTCTAGTTAATTAGACCAAGGTATTACCTGAAAAACAAAAGGAAGATCATGTTTGTTTGGAAATGCCCTCACCCACCCTCCTTTGCTGGGGCGTTTTCGTCGGACACAGCTCCTTAGGCATTGGGGTCATCTCACACTATGGCATTCCGGTGGAGTGTCTAACCCTACCCTCTGCTCTTTCCCTGTCCCGGTCACCGTGCTACTCAGTGTTACTCCGATTATTATGTGTAGGGAGACAGGGGCTCTAAATATCATATCAGCCATGCTGAGGGGCTTGGCTCTGTGGGTACAAAGCATCAAATCAGGCCAATGACAAGATCCTAAAGGAACCTGCTAGGGCCCTGATTCTAAGTGGCCAGTGTCAAAATGAACCAATGAATCAGAGATGATTCTGATAAAGAGTCAAGAGAAATGGCGGGATACTGCCATCCCCAGGTTGATGTGCAGCCTCTTAGGACCCTGTAAAGCCCTTGCCCACGAACTTCACTCACCTCCCTCTCCCCTTCCATCCCCCAAGCAGATGCAGGGGCAGTGAATTAGTTAATGTGGCTCTAACAGCCAAGTCTCTGATCCCACCAAATGCCCTATTGTTGCACGGGTCCGGTATGAAGATGGGGAAGATACTGACGGGATCCCCTGGAGTGCCTTCTGCTGTGTACAAATGAGCCCTCTGAGAAGCAGGAGGAGGGATCTCCTGATCAGCAAGAGCCAGGAGTGGAGCGCGTGCCCTGGACCCGGGATCCCTGTGCAGAGAACCTCCTGGCTCCAGAGGACAGCTACATCGGCGGAGCAGCAGCAGAACCAGAGTCAGAAGCTTGAGCAGAGTGGTGGCTTCCCCGCCCACGGAGCGAGTACAGCGGAGTGCTTCTGTGCCGGAAGCTGGTTTGCAGAGTGGGGGGGCCTCTGGGCACTGAGTTCAGGAAGTTGGGCTTGGTGAACACACAAAAGTGGAGCTGAGTGGCTTCGGGGAGAGGTTTACTGGAGTGGGGTGCCTCTGGCACCTCATTCAGGGAGCTGGGTGTGCTGACCCGTGGAGCTTGTGCTGCATGTAGCAGAGTGGTATGCCCCTGTGGGCATTTACCAGCAGACCTGAAACTTGGTAGCATGCCCTGGTATCTGTTTCTCACTGGCATCATCAACCCTCGCATTATGAATCTTGTTTGTGAGTTTCTGTGCAGCCACTGCAATGGATATTAAACCCCTAAGAAGTAAAATAGAGGACACTATAGCAGATATTGCTCTAACAGTGCACACTGAAACATCGCGTGTTAAGACCACATACCTGTTTTTTGAACTTGAAGTTGAATTCCCACATTGGTTCCTGTCTATTCCCAACAACCTTTCTGCACCAGAAAAGCAAGCACTGCGAGAAAACAAAAACAACAATAAACCAAAAATAAAGGAGGGATGAGCAAAAGACAGGAAATAAAAATAAAAACACACTGTACGGTAACAACAACAAAAATACTCAAAATCTTCTGTTAATAGAACTTAAATCCGCCACAGTCCCGAAGCTGAAATTATACTCTGGCACAGACAGGACCCCCAATTTGACACGGTGCAACAGGAAAATACATCCCAGGGCCATTCAATTAAGAGAAAGGGGACCAGTATAAGCCCAGTGAAACTCTGGAGGGCAAGCCCTATTGTTCTCATCTCTAAAGATGGAAGCGTGGTCTCCGGAGACCATTCTCTGGAATTCAGCAGGCCACTCCCCTGCATTAAAATCTAAGGGCGGCCAGTAGCCACCAGGCAAAAGGCTAACAAGTTATAAGCCAGACAGAGAAGGCTAGTCCCAGAACAGAAGCAAGTTGCTCAGGACCTTCTGGGCGCAGACGGCAGGGGAAAACTAGAGAGTTGGGCTGAATTCTGTCTAGAATAAGGCCCTTGATCCAAGAGTCAGGCTACAGCTAGCGTTAAGCACAAGAAGTGAAGTACCTCCCGGGGGATAAGGGGCGGGTCGTCCTCCGTGCCAGCTGTCCTGCCCTGCAGACATGCCCTGTACGTCCTGCTGTTCCATCAAAAATAATGGGCTTGGCTTTAAGGGGCAAACACTTCTGCTGCCATCACAACGGCTCCAGTGTCCCACACAAGCTATGCTACTGAAAAGAAAGAGAGGGGGAATCAAACTCGAGAAGCTGGAGTCCAGGAACATAAAGCAACTTCCTTTAGGCATGCCAGCAACTCCTCCAATACCAAGTGGTCATGGGCACACCAGTGGCAGGGCCACGCGTGGGTCACCTGCCACGACAGGGCCCGCACCCTTTTCTGAAGAGCCCAGACAAAGGTACAAAAAACAGCAGCCAGGTGGCCTGGGCTGACTACGTGGGTTAAAACTGTAGTCTCCATTCCACCTTGGCTTGTTAGTTACTTTCCGAGCTTCACAGACAGAAGACAGGAAGGCGTGGCGCTTCAGAGTTTAGGCAGTAGCGCTAGCATGGTGCACTGGAGCCGCTAGGATGTGTCAAGCATGAGGCATTTGGGCAATGCTGCTCTGCTTCTAGCAATGGTTCACACCTGGTGCGGTTACTTATGGCCTGACCCCACCCTCACCATAGTTAGTCTGCCACTGCCAAGTGTTCCCGGGGGGAGGGACACTCTAAGTGACATACATTGTCCACTCCTGTGACAAGCAGAAGCAGCTGCTGGTTGAAATTCTATTCGCCCAAGATTCTACCCTTGCCCTAAATCCATCAGCCAGCCTGGTATGAAACTGAGCTCTGTCAATGGCCCCTAACCTCTTAGATTTGCTACCCTCGGGGGTGGGGGTGGAGGTGGAGGTGGAGGTCATAGACTCCTATACTTGAGTAATGCTAATTAATCTTGAAAGTCACATACCATTTCAATCAATATGTATCATATAGATCATTTTCACAGTAGAGCTAAACTACGTCATAACTCTGAGACCATCATCCTAACTCCTGATGCACCGGGGGCTTACAAAGTAGAAGTGCTCACAGGTTCTCTGGCCAGCCCCCTGAAGGGAGCAGACTGTGAGCCTTTCTTCCACAGTGCCACCAAGTGAGTTCCAGCTGCCAGCCTCGACAAGCGCAGCTCACACCAGGCGCCCCGCCCAGGGGCCCCCAGCCACACTAAGGGAGAACAGTCACTGTCCACCTTACAATCAGACAACACCTGAGTACGAGAGCACAGGATGGGTTACAGAATAACAGGTTC